AGATAGATAGATAGATAGATAGATAGATAGATAGATAGATAGATAGATAGATAGATATAGATATATTACAACTAGCAATAGTAGGAAGAATAAATATAAGAGTACATTAATGCACACATATATTAGCATACAAATATTTTATGCAAAAGCTTTCTATTATTTGTGTAATTGAGATTAGCCGAAGAACTTGCGCACATCTTTTCTTGGGTTAACATTTATAATGTCTCTAGTTTTTCTCCCTTTTTTTTTTTTTTTAATTTTCAAAAAAATTTTTTTATCTTAAAATAGAATAAATGAAATTTTTCTCATGAAACTTTGTGTTTAATACTGGTACACATGTTTGTATAAGCTTTTTTTATAAAATAAAGAGCAAACGATATAAATTAATTTGATGGAATCGTAACAAAACTATCTGATTTTTTTTTCTTTTCATTTCCCCCAAGAGTAGCTGATATTGTTTTTCTATTTTGATATGAAATTGAATGACATATTGTGAGATCTTAGAGTTATTCTCTCTGCAGAAGATGGGCAACAACTGTTAATTTGAAGAAAAAAAAAGAGAAAAATAAACTTGAATTCTTGAAGTTTGAATGCTTATTTCTCCCAACCGTCAATCAAATATGTTAAGCATAACAATTAAGAAATGTTTACCAAAAGCTACTGCAGGTGTTTACAAAAACATACATTACTTATATATTCAGTTTGACATTTCAAATTTCAGAATTCACTATTTTTTGTGCATACGATTATTTCTAAGGAAGCAGCTTCTTGAAGGGAAATGTCGATTATTTTTTACCTCTTATTCCTTTCGACTTTGCCCATTTTTTCATCGTCGTGGGAAAACATTTTTTTTAATCGCTTTAAGAGAGATGATGATGTTATGCAGGATTTGTGTTATGCAGTGAAAAAAGAACATTATGATGTTATAAGCCATTTAGTTTTGGCAGGTGTAGAGATAGATGGAGACTGCTCTATAGGGTCGAAAAAGTATACTCCATTGATTTATGCCATTGAATATAAGAAAATGGAAATATTTAAATTTTTTGTTAACTTTATTTCTGATGTCAACCAAAAAGATAAATTTGAAAATACTCCGTTGTATTACAGCTCTTTGTTTAACTGCTTAGAATGTGTAAAGTTTTTAATCGAAAATAAAGGAGCTAATATTAACGCACTGAATTTTAATAATTACACTGCTTTGGATGCTGCTTATGATGAAAATTATTATAAAATTGTTGATTACCTTACACTGCGTGGTGCGATTTTTACTGGTAGATACAGCAATGGACAGACGACTGAAAAAAAATATATAGATTCAAGGTTTTTTATAGATTCCTCTTCACCACCATATAACGGACCACTTGTTCTAAAAAGAAATAGAACCTCTTATGGATATCGTCGCTTTCGTCGGAATAATTACAATCCCCTCAGAATAGATTCTTCCACCGCTTTGGAATCCTCCGCAAAACAGAAACAAAAGGCGCCGTCGGTAAAACGCAGTATTAGTGATGCAATTTATATTTTTCCAGAAGAACACATTCAACAGAAGAAACTGCAGCTAGATCAAAAGCATTCAAACATATTAAGATTTCTAGGATCAAATAATCCAGACAAAAATGGTCCTTTGTTGCTACTAAACATTTTGTTCAATAAATTCATACTTAAAACAAAATCACCCATAATACGCCAAGACGCATCGGAAATGGAAATAAAAGCCAATGCTTTGCTTATCACAGATACTATCAAAAGAATTATGGAGTCCTTACGCGAACCTCTGGAATTAAAAGATGTTGATTTTTCTGAAGTACATTCGAAAATTTTGAAAGAACTTGCGTCTGGAAAAGAGCACAAAATTCCAGAAATTCTGTCAGAACTTCTACACACTAAGTCTCATGGTAAGGTGTTTAAAATATTATTTGTCTTATATCTAATATAAAATATTAGTTGTCTTATAAATTTCATTTACATCATGTCATTCAATATTTTCTTTCTTTTATATTACTTTTATGATTCTTTCAAATATTTTTATTGAAAACTCTGCTTTAAATTATTTCAATATTTTCAAAATTAATTTTAATAAATTTTACTTATTTTACAAAAAGTATCTGTTGTAAAACTTATAAGACCACCTACAAAAATTTGCATATCATCCATAATAGTAAAATCTTCACATTGGTGAAAATGTTTGTTTGGTCTTGTTTCCTGTGGCATGAAATTTTTTAACAGCTCACTGATATTTTCATGTAACTAATTATGCATCTGCAATTGGTTTTCCACTACAAGCTACAGCTTTTATTCAATTTAATACTCTATTCCTAACCGAAATATTTTAGAAATACACTCGAGTGAATACTAATTTCCCACACTTCTCTTCTACGTAGGGAGTGGTAGGATGAAGGCGATAGTTCATTTAAATTTATGATGCGATGCGTTAAGGACGTATGTCTTTTTTTTATTATCTTAAGTGTTATTTTCAAAGGAGCATACAAGTGTGTGTCGCTAGCGCTTTGAAACGCATGCACTAGTNTCATAGTAAAATCTTTACACTGGTAAAAATTTTTGTTTGTTCTTGTTTCCTGTGGCATGAAAATTTTTAACAGCTCACTGATATTTTCATGTAACTGATTTTGTATCTGCAATTGGTTTTCCACTACAAGCTACAGCTTTTATTCAATTTAATACTCAATTCCTATACGAAATATTTTAAAAATACACTCGAATGAATACTAATTTCCCACACGTCTCTTCTACGTAGGGAGTGGTAGGATGAAGGCGATAGTTCATTTAAATTTATGATGCGATGCGTTAAGGACGTATGTCTTTTTTTTATTATCTTAAGTGTTATTTTCAAAGGAGCATACAAGTGTGTGTCGCTAGCGCTTTGAAACGCATGCACTAGTATTTCGTGAAACCAATTACATTATTTTTCAAGAACGTGCGTATTATTTTCTTAAGAAACTGAAGTTCTGATAGTGTTATTCTTTGTTTATTTGAAGAAGCCGCGGGAGAAAGCGCGAAACATTTTTTAATGCTGGTGTTAAGTCTGCCAGAAGAAAAATAACTAGGTTGATGAAGTCCTTTAAAACTGATATTCACAATGTTATGCTCAAGACAGCTGTTTCAAATAAACCGAAACGATCTGATAGAAAAAATGATTTTTACAACATCGGCTGATTGACCAATATTCCAAATAGGTGATCTACTTTTGACCGATTTTCTAAATTGGTAAATTTTTCGACTTTCAAAAAAAAAAAAAAAAAATGTTTGTTGGTTTTTTAATTTTTGGAATTTTTAATGGTTTTAAAATTGTCACAGTAAGGAAAGGTCTGAAATCAAAGGACAATAAAAAATTTGAGAAAATCAGAAGTTATTGAACGAAAAGTGGAAGGAAAAAAAAATTTTTTTTTGATGATAAGAAAATTACCCTTTATGTTCCTAAAGTATACAAATACAATTGCCATAATTTGATTTCAGAATCAAAAGAAAGATTCATTTGACAAACAGGAGAAGGTTCAATAATGGTCAGGGAAGTCTCGGACTATGACAAATTGAGGCTATTTACAGCAAATTTTCTGGATGTTTATAAGCAAGTCTTTTTCATATCAGTCTTTGTTGCATTATAACCTAACACCATTTGGTCTCTTATTAGATGCTCTAAATTGGATCTGGAAACAGCAGATCAATGTTTTTTGACAAACATCTAAGTTCACTGAAAAATGGATTAAAAAGTTTTGTAACTGTAGTGGTAAAAAATTGGATACTCGTGGAAAAACCCCTCAATTATTATAGCCAAAACCAAAAATTGAAACCTCCTTTTTAAACAAAAATGTTTGTAAGTAAACTGTGCCACATTTTTTTTGATCGTATATTTTAAAAAAAATTATGTATTGCATGATATTATGCCACAAAGTTTATGCGTTTATGCGAATAATAAACACTTTTAATCTGTCAATGAACTAGATGTAGTTACTGAAAAAGAACGGCACAATGTTGTTGAAATTAAACTTTGCCACAAAGTCAATCAAATGAAAAACGCAATGTTTGAAGAAGTTCGATAATTAGAGGATCAATATCATGTAATTTTTTTTTTATTTTCAGCGTTTTTAGTTCCGTGGTCTTATTTTTTAACAGTAAATATTCTTGTTTAGGTAGAAATTAATTATTTGAGAAAAAAACGAACTTTCAAGTCGAAAAGAAGAAGACCGCTGAAATCTACTGATTGTTTATAAACACGATAACGTGTTAACTTTGCAGTTGTTAGGCTTGGTTTATTATCATGCTGAATCAATTTTTGGAACATATTTAATTGGGTACCTGCAAGTAAAAAAAAAAATGCTACCATTCAACAGCCAATCAGGTTTGATCCTCAGGCGTGACATTGTTTGCAATAATTAGTTACTTTTTTTGCTTAGTTTCTTATTCAAATCTTGGTCAAAAAATTGTTGAAAGGAACTGTGCTTTAAAAAGGAATACTTTTTTAATGCAAAAAAATTACTTTAAAATTCTTTTTTTTTTAAAAAAAATAGAAGTAAGAATAATCTTAAAAAATTATATTCAAAAGTTTAAAATGTCTATATTTCTATTTATAGCAATAATCCTTTGAAATTGGAAGAAGGAATTAAATTTGCCTTAGAAGCCTGTCAATAATGTTTCAAGACTGCCGAAAGAAGATAAATGTATTCATTTTGTAACAGAAGAATATATACTATTAAAAGTTTATTACTATTCTATTGAGAACGTTTTCTGCTACATTAAAAATGTGAGAAAAAAGGGTTGAAAAAACAAATAATTTTAGAAAATTTCGGAGAATTATGCATTTAAACAAATTTTTTGGAATAATTTTAAACTAAAATACTCGTGTATAAACGAAGAATAGTCCCGCAGTGGATTGATCGTTAAGACACGGTTCCCAGAAGATCACCGAAGTCAAGCATCACGGGTACGTAAAACATTTCATTCCAGCAATTTTTTTCGAAAAAAATGAAATATCTGTAACTATCAAGATTTCTTTTATAATTCTGGCATATATATAAAACTGCTTCTTTTCCAAGATAAAGTAGATATTGTTGTAACATTTAAAAAAAGAATAAGTAAACTCCTCCCCAAAACTAGCTGTAAATGAAATGGTTTTAATACCAGCCTTTCCTCTTTTCCGTCTCGCTTTCACCCCTGGGTGACCACTTGGATCAGTCTGCGTAGGGACCGAGGGTGTGCGGTATTGGTCCTCGTTAAACTGTTCTACCGTAAAGTGCTCGACTTCGCGCGCAGGTCGTCGTGCTACCGAAGCGGGGGTACCATCCCCACTGCAGAGGATCAAAATTGTGATGGCATGTCTTCGGATCATCCTCAGGGATGTTTCCCCGACCGTCGCCAACAGCCCATTGTGCAGCTTTAGTGCGACGTAAATGAATTACAACAACAAATCATCCGGTACCGCACAAAAAAAAAGTAATTAAATAAAAACGGTAATAAATGAAATAACGGTTAAAAAATGAAATAATAACGATGATTCTAATAGCAAGATGTCAGAAGTATAAATGGCGAAAAAAATGAACCCTTTTACCTCTTTTCTAACGCAATCCAAATTTTTCGTAAGAATCGTTTCTGCCAACCCTTCCGGATTTTCCCGAAGATTTTATTTTCATAATTAAAGTGGTAGCAATACTCAGGTTATTCCAATTAACTCTTTGAATTTTAATGATATATTATAAATGAGTTTGACCACCACTACATATAAATAATTACAATAAATACATGAAAGCATAATACTCCTTGCACAAGCGAATTTCAACATGATCAAAATATAAATATATTTTTGAGTCAGATTGTTTTTCGCTTATTGTTTTACAACCACTCTGAAAATCCATTCTCGGAAAGAGTGAAAGTTGGCAGGTATGAGGTATACATATCAAATAACCTATCAGGTTTAAGAATTTTAGTGGTGTGATTGTGGTATGATTGGACGTTCAAAATAATCTCCTCGAAATAACTTAGCGTATTCTAGTTTGGCGAGATTTTAACAAATTCGCCGCTGGGTGAAGTATTTCAAGTTCCCCCTTGCATCAGTATCCTCTTTTAAGGATTTATTTTCTCTACAAGCTGTTTCGATGTCAAGCGCTAGTTCAGAAGCTTTGATGAAATTTATATATTTTCCACTAAGCAACTTATTTTGAATCTCTTCAGACTGCAATCCACAAACAAGCTTGTCTCTAAGTGCATCATTTAAAAATGCACCAAAGTTACATCGCCAGTTCTTATATCTTCACAATAAAAGTAGCTGAGTCGTCATTTCCTTGTTTCAAGTTACAAAAACGGAAGCGCTAGATGAAGTGGAAGAGTCATAATCAGTCTATGCTTTTAAGATTTCATTATAGGCAACCGTTTTAATGTCACGTGGCTGGAGTAAGCTTCGAAGAAGTGAAAATATTTTTTTACCGATGGCCATTAAGAGTAGAGCTCGCTGTTCATCATCGAAAATATAATCTTATCGCTTTCAAAAAAGAAATCGGTTGCAATAAGTATTCTCCGAAATTTTCACCTTCTGTAAAGCTTTGTAAAAATCCAGCTTTGACATTCGTCATTTTGAAGCACGTTAATTATTCACTGCTACTTCAAATCCAGTTTAACTCGTCGACATTGCGATCCATTACATTGGTGTTCGAAAGAGTTTTGCAAAATGGCATAAACTTTAAACTAAGTTTTTAAGTGAGATCTTCAAAATAATTCAGAACTATCTCAGCAGAGGAAATTACCGCATCAGCATCGATAAACATAAATCAACCATTTGAAATGTTCGGGCACGTATCAAAAAAAGGAGAATCTTAGGCCCGAAACTCCATCTTACCTACACTTGTGATTTTCCAGAACTTCACTGGGAATAGAAAAAGGATCCACGTTGATTATTCACTGCTACTTCAAATCCAGTTTAACTCGTCGACATTGCGATCCATTACATTGGTGTTCGAAAGAGTTTTGCAAAATGGCATAAACTTTAAACTAAGTTTTTAAGTGAGATCTTCAAAATAATTCAGAACTATCTCAGCAAAGGAAATTACCGCATCAGCATCGATAAACATAAATCAACCATTTGAAATGTTCGGGCACGTATCAAAAAAAGGAGAATCTTAGGCCCGAAACTCCATCTAACCTACACTTGTGATTTTCAGAACTTCACTGGGAATGGAAAAAGGATCCACGTTGATTATTCACTGCTACTTCAAATCCAGTTTAACTCATCGACAATGCGATCCATTACATTGGTGTTCGAAAGAGTTTTGCAAAATGGCATAAACTTTAAACTAAGTTTTCAAGTGAGATCTTCAAAATAATTCAGAACTATCTCAGCAAAGGAAATTACCGCATCAGCATCGATAAACATAAATCAACCATTTGAAATGTTCGGGCACGTATCAAAAAAAGGAGAATCTTAGGCCCGAAACTCCATCTTACCTACACTTGTGATTTTCCAGAACTTCACTGGGAATGGAAAAAGGATCCACGTTGATTATTCACTGCTACTTCAAATCCAGTTTAACTCGTCGACATTGCGATCCATTACATTGGTGTACGAAAGAGTTTTGCAAAATGGCTTAAACTTTAAACTAAGTTTTTAAGTGAGATCTTCAAAATAATTCAGAACTATCTCAGCAAAGGAAATTACCGCATCAGCATCGATAAACATAAATCAACCATTTGAAATGTTCGGGCACGTATCAAAAAAAGGAGAATCTNAAGTCTACCGATGATGTTTGAAGACTGCCGAAAGAAGACAAATGTATTCATTTTGTAACAGAAGAATATATACTATTAAAAGTTTATTACTATTCTATTGAGAACGTTTTCTGCTACATTAAAAATGTGAGAAAAAAGGGTTGAAAAAAGAAATAATTTTAGAAAATTTCGGAGAATTATGCATTTAAACAAATTTTTTGGAATAATTTTAAACTAAAATACTCGTGTATGAACGAAGAATAGTCCCGCAGTGGACTGATCGTTAAGACACGGTTCCCAGCAGATCACCGAAGTCAAGCATCACTGGCTGCGGTCAGTGTGCTGGTGGGTGACCACTTGGATCAGTCTGCGTAGGAACCGAGAGTGTGCGGTATTGGTCCTCGTTAAACTGTTCTACCGTAAAGTGCTCGACTTCGCGCGCAGATCGTCGGGCTACCGAAGCGGGGGTACCATCCCCACTGCAGAGGATCAAAATTGTGATGGCATGTCTTCGGATCATCCTCAGGGATGTTTCCCAGACCGTCGCCAACAGCACATTGTGCAGCTTTAGTGCGACGTAAATGAACTACAACAATAAATCATCCGGTACTGCCCAAAAAAAATTAAGTAATTAAATAATTAACGGTAATAAATGAAATAACGGTTAAAAAATGAAATAAAAACGATGATTCTAACAGCAAGATGTCAGAAGTATAAATGGCGAAAAAAATGAACCCTTTTACCTCTTTTCTAACACAATCCAACTTTTTCGTAGGTATACATATCAAATAACCTATCAGGTTTAAGAATTTAAGTGGTGTGATTGGACGTTCAAAATAATCTCCTCGAAATAACTTATCGAAATCTAGTTTGGCGAGATTTCAACAAAATCGCCGCTGGGTGAAGTATTTTAAGTTCCCCCTTACATCAGTATCCTCTTTTTAAGGATTTATTTTCTCTACAAGCTGTTTCGATGTCAAGCGCTAGTTCAGAAGCTTTGATGAAATTTATATATTTTCCACTAAGCAACTTATTTTGAATCTCTTCAGACTGTAATCCACAAACAAGCTTGTCTCTAAGTGCATCATTTAAAAATGCACCCAAGTTACATCTGCTCTCGCCAGTTCTTATATCTTCACAATAAAAGAAGCTGTGTCCTCATTTCCTTGTTTCAAGTTACAAAAACGGAAACACTCCATAATAGTAGATGAAGTGGAAGAGTAATAATCCGTCTATGCTTTCAAGATTTCATTATAGGCAACCGTTTTCATGTCACGTGGCTGGAGTAAGCTTCGAAGAAGTGAAAATATTTTCTTACCGATGGCCATTAAGAGTAGAGCTCGCTGCTCATCATCGGAGGAATAATCTTATTGCTTTCAAAAAAGAAATCGATTGCAATAAGTATTCTTCGAAATTTCCACCTTCTGTAAAGCTTTGTAAATGTCCAGCTCTGACATTCGTTATTTTGAAGCACGTTGATTATTCACTGCTACTTTAAATCCAGTTTAACTCGTCGACATTGCGATCCATTACATTGGGGTTCGAAAGAGTTTTGCAAAATGGTAGATATAAACTTTAAAATGATGTAACTTTACGATGGATCTTCGAAATAATTCAGAACTATCTTAACAAAGAAGATTACCGCATCAGCATCGATAAACATAAATCAACGATTTGAAATGTTCGGTCAGGTATCAAGAAAAGGAGTATCTTAGGCCCGAAACTCCATCTTATTTACACTTGTGATTTTTCAGAATTTCCAGGGAATGAAAAAGGGTCCACGTGAAGACTCAAACACCCAGTTAGAGCTTTATGAAAATGATTATGTAGTGATGCTCATAAGTGATTAATAAAATCGGGGGGAAGAAATTTTGTGTTCGGCAGGCTGCCAACTTTCTATGCTTCTTATAAATATTTATTCTAGTGGTCTATGTTTAAGTTTTAATGTATTATTTGTTTAGTCATTTAAGCGTATTTTCCATAGCACTACATAATAATGATTAAAAATTTCATAAGCCAA